ATTCTTTCAAGGTAGAACTTGTAAGTCCATGCATTGTTCCTTATTTTCAAACCAAACCTTTACGGTTAGCTTACGCCGAGTGAAGCTTTTAAAACTTGATATTATGATTCCAGCTCTTCTTCAGGGTTGCAGAGAGGACAGTCTGTCTCGTTTAGAGCAAGCCTATCTTCTTATAGAGTTGCTTTGGTATATACAATACACTACTTTAGTTATAATTTAAATTCACTCTGCTTTTTTATCTTCCATTTACTCTCAAGGATTTTCTCATTGCAGATGCTAATTACATGCTTGTGTATCTTGGCTGTTGACTTCACTATCTTTCCGAGGAGGTACGCCAAGACAGAGACATACGGTACTAGCTTGGTATGTTTGGAATATCTAAACTCATATTTGTCTTGCTTTAGTCCTTTAGGCTCTAAACAAATTTGAGATTTGCCTTCCTATTGTGATAAGTAACTTTGTATATGTATGTATATTACAACTTGAAATGAAAACAGATGGATCTTGGGGTCGGCTCTTTTGTGTTGGCTAATGCTATAGTTTCTCGACAAGCTAGAGAAGTCTCATCAGGGTAGGTGATTCTCCTTAGCACTCCATTAACCATTATGAAAAGCTTTGTTACTGGTTCAGGATTATGTAAACTTGGTCTGATTTTTACTTGCATTGCTTCAGAAACTGGATTACTGGACTTAAAGCAACTGCTCCTCTGCTATTACTCGGGTTTATTCGTTTCGTTACCACTTCAGGTGTGGATTATCAGGTAAAGATAATCTCCGCAGTTCCTATTTATTATGCCTTCTCGCTTTATAAAGTCTGACCAATGTTGTTCTTAACTATATGAAGGTCCACATTACGGAATATGGACAACACTGGAATTTCTTTTTCACACTTGCAGCCATATCGATTCTCACATCATTTGTTAACATACCAGCCAAGTACTGTGGAATCCTAGGTTTCACTGTTCTTGCAGGTATATTTCACTTTCACTTTCTTTTCTTTTATAATTACAAGATAGTGAAACCTAACTATCTTCAACCTCCTCCATTCTCAGGGTACCAAACTTGGTTGGTTAGTGGACTGAACGCATATTTGCTTTCCGACGAGAGAGGAACTAACATTATCAGCAAAAACAAAGAAGGAGTATATAGCATTCTTGGTAAGGTTTATGATTTGGTTTATTTACTACTACTCTC